TGAGTGCGACCAATGCCATTTCCATCCTGTATCTGGGCCTGAAACCTGACTGAAAAGGGTCCAGAGAAAACGGAGGGTCCAGAGAAACAGAAAGGGTCCATTTCCTCCAGGATCCTCTGGAGCTCCAACCTTCTCAACCACCTTCCCTAAAAAGGGGAGGTGGGAGACTGGATGAAAATTGTTCAGTATGGTGGGATCCAGTGATGGCTCCTTGAGGAGGGGGTGCACCAGCACCTCCTTAAAGGCAGGTGGAAACACCCCCTCCCTCAAAGGTGAATTCACCATTGCCTGGACCCACCCACATGTCACCTCCTGGGAAGCTTTAACCAGCTAGGAGGGACGTGGATCTAGTTGACAGGTGGTGGCATTGACCATCCAGAGGGCCCTGTCCACTTCCTCAGGTGCAACAGGATCAAACTGTTCTCAGATAACAGGGTAAGGATGTACCTTGGGCATCTCTATAGACCATGCCTCACGCTTGGTATCCAACTGGAACTGGATCCGAGTGATTTTATCCTCCAGATGCCCAGAAGACTCCTCTGCACAGCCCTGTAAATGGGCTACTGAGCCCCCCTTTCCCAAAAGAGATCGGGTGATCTTGAACAGGGCCACCGGGCAGCATTCTGCAGATGCAATAAGAGCGGAGAAATATTGACGTTTTGCCGCTCTTACTGCCACAAGGTAGGCCCTAATAGTGGCTCTAGCTTGTGTTCCATTGGGTTCGGTCCTCGTTTTCCTCCAGCAGCACTCTAGACTTCTTTTAACCCTTTTCAAAACCCTCCTCCGTAAACCACGGGGAGTGTTGGGTTCAATGGGTCAAGAGAGGTTGCATGGGTGCGATCTTGTCCAAGGCCTTGGCCGCTTTCCTTTTCCAGGTAGCGGAATAATAGTTATCAACTTTCATTTTATTTGGAAATAGTAGTTATCAACTTCTTCTCTACCCTTCCCCATTTTAATTAGTATGAGAAGCTCTCTAGTGTATTAATGGGTAGTTTAAGATGTTTGAGTAATTATTGTTCTTTAAGTATCTATGACTTAATAGTGTTAAGGACAGTACATTGCTAGACCTAGCTCAGTTACAGATTTGGTTATAGATTTGAAGTATCTATTATTGCTGAGCAATATCTCAATCTCTCCTTGGCAAAGATTTATTCAAAAGTTAGTGTTTCTAATGCAAGTTACTATGAATGATTTCTAAAGCAATTTTTTATAGTGCAATGGCACTGAAGATTACTGCCTCTTTCATTATGCAGTATATTTTTACATTAAGCTAGTGTTCGCCTTCACAATGAATTCTGCTCTGAACTGTCCTTTTGTGAACTTAGAGCGGTTCTGATATGATAATGCACCTATTTAGATAGATCACAGGCATATTCTTTTTTAAAAATTGGCAGCTTTCAAATAGGTCTTCTTCTAATCTGTGGATCCTTGTTCCATTAACAAAACATGGACTTACATGCACAACTGCGTTACCTTATGTTAGTAAGTAACACAGTTGTTCAAAAGTAGTTCTTCATTCTTATTGCTACATCAGAATAACAAAGAGGAACAATACAAAACTGTCAGCTAGAACTCTAGACCCTAGAAAAGTATATTCCACATGCTGCCTACCAGCATTTCTCTTTGCTGCTTTCTGTTGGACAAGTGAAGATTTAGGATTTCTTTTTCAAGCAGTTAGAGGATTTAGGAAAATCCAAACCTTAAAACAGGAATGAGCAACCTGTGGTGTAAATCCTGTTTTTGCATGATTACTGAAAATTAATGGCACAATTTCCCATCGTTTTGTGGTGGGAAATTGATAAAATATGTAATATAAATCCTAAAATAGTGAAAACTCCGGTTATTTTGGGAAATACTGGTATAAGGTAACATCAGCTGAATTTTTCAAGAAGAAAAGGGATGGTAGAAATGTGATTAACTTCATTATAAG